TCAAGGGCTCAAGTAGTAAAATGTTTTGAGAATGATGATGGCAACACATGTATAACTGTGCTTGACACAATAGATGTATGGATTGTGAGAAGAGTTGTGAAAGCCCCCAATAAAATGATTTAAAAAAGGAGAAGGGAAAACACGGATCATTAGGAGATAATGAAGATGTGGTCAGAGTACCTACTGACAGAAAATCGATGAATTTTTATTATTTAAGGAAAAACATGCTTATAATAAGGCAAAAGGAACGAGACAAAGTAGTACAAGAGAGTCAGTAACAGACTAGTGCTACAGAGTACTAGAAACTCAACTCCCTGCCACCCGGTCAATGCTGATTCACAGCAACCCCCCACTGGTGCCTGAGACTGTTTACAACCGTCTTTCTCCCACACAACTGCTGGTAGTTTTGAACTGCTGACCATGCGAATTGCAGCCCAACACAAAACCACTGCACCACTAGGGCTCTACAATGAAGAAGCCTTTATTAAATAAAAACGTCACAATGTGAAGCTACTTTTGCTTGACTTCTAGATGCGTGCACCTTGGAAGGCATGTCTCCACCTCTGGAGCCTTCCTTGAAGAATTCTACACTCCAGTGTGGGGTTGCCATGAGTTGGGTCCAAGTCCATCACGGCTAACAATGAGATTAACTCTAGTGCCACCGATTATTATTATTTGATACGTTATTATCAGTTCTTTTCTAAAGTGACAACTTTTAAAAAGCATGCTGGAAGCATTCGGAATTTTTTTTTTTTTTTTTAAGCATTCGGAATTATATAACAAATAATTTTGCACTTGAGGAAGATAAAATTCCCTAACAAATTCTGAGGTAGAGGAAAGAGGAAAAACAATTATAAATTCAAGATAAGGCTTATTTTAAATGAGTCATCGATTTTTTATATTCCACATCTATTCGTGGATATATGTTTTGTAAGGTAAAGATTTTCTCATTCTCTTTAAATGTTATCGTTCAGGAGGCGCTTAGTTGACTCAAGGAGCCTGAGTAGCCTAACGGGTTCTATCTACCTTGGGCTGCTAATTGCAGAGTCAGAAGTTGACACCTTCCAACCGCTCCAGTGGATAAAAATGAGGCTTTCTACTCGCCTAAATAGTTAGTCTCAGAGACCCACGGGGCAGTTCTACCCTGTCCTGCAGGGCTGCTATGAATTGGAATCAATTCAGTGGTGGTGAATTTGTTTCTTTGCTTTGTTTGCTTTGTTTTTGAGTGGGTTGACTCAGAAAGAGAATTCATAAAACTTTCCCTATTCCATATAATCACAACAGAAAATCAAACTTGCCTATTAGTCAATCTACATCTCGTTCGATTCTTAACGTGATTTCAAATATATTCTCTTGGGGTTAACTATAGAGTAAAATTATTTCAGAAAGAAGTGTGTAATGGAAAAGAAGAAAGCAGGGGAGGGACGTTCAAGAAAGAAGAGAAGGGAGCTGCGAAGTTCAAGACCAAGGAGAAGGCTGATGTTAGGACATGTGGGGATCTCCAAGAGACAATGGGCCACAGATGTTGAAAGGAGACAAGGTCCTGGAGAGACAGTGTGAGAGAGGGGGAGGGACGAGGGACGGAGGGAGAAGAAAAAAAAAGTGTGTAATGATAGATACCCAGTTCACAGCTTAAGTTTTCTTCACATTGTGACAGTCCTGAAACCGAGGATCTTGAGACTTATGCCTACTTTTTGGTTACTTCAAAAAGTAGCCAAAACAATGTAGGCTATTTTGTGTCTGTGGTAGTTACATAATCTGGTGTCAACTTGTGGAGGTGTGGAATCTAGCCTACTGGTTCGTGTCAGATGCTGGAAAAAAAATCTGGAACCCTGAAGAAACTCCTCTCTAGGACTGAACATTAAAGGAAGCTTGTGGGCAGGCTGAAAGGCTTGCTAGGTGACCACCTGGATCCTACTTGTTGAGTGGAAGTGGGAGAGATGCAGCAATAAAGAGATGGGTTGAGTCTGGCCACTGACACCCCTGAATCTGGTTCATAGGGACTAAAAGAGAAGATGAGAGCGGGTTGACTGAAGTTCATGACCTAGTACAAGGGGGCAGAGGTTGTTAACAATTTGTGACAGGGCTCATGGTCACAAGGCAAGGCAGCCAGTGGACACCCTGGTGAGGCTAAATGAGGCAGCCCACATTGAGTTGACCAGAACCCAACCAAATGAAGATATTTGAGCCTGTAAACTGGTACATGTTGTTGCTGACTTAATGGATGGCCTGTCCTGACTTGACTTTGCTTATGGATGCGGACTCACAAGGTTCCAACTGGGATGAAGATCCTTCACATGCTAGGATTGTCTCCTCAGAGCACTGGGTTGATGTAAGTGGGCAGTATGGGAATTTTGGATACCCAAAACAGGGCAGATAAAGGCATGAAGTGGCAGGGGCTTACAAACTTTCATAGTTGCTGGAATATCTTCATAGGATTATAGGATTAAGGTGTAGACATTCACATAAGTATAGAATATTTGTTTTGTTCACTTATAGAATATTATGTTTAAATGAAGATGGCACATATTGAATTGTATGCTTTTTAGTTTTATCCTGTTAGGTACAAATATGATTTTATTATTTTGTTAAAGATTATGTTTGGCTAAAGAGTTATGTAAAAGTGTCAAGTTGACAAGGGGTGGTTTGTGGTAGTTACATAATCTCTGGATGGGTGGAGTCTAGCCTGTCAATCAGATTGCAGCTTGATGACCTCATTTGGAGACGCTAAGGAGATAAATAGCTCGCTCACTGGAGGCAGGACACTCACTCACTCTCCCTGCAAGACATTCCTGTTGACAAGCCACATGGAGTTAGGCTGATGGCAGCTAGCGTCTTGGAGCTGCAAGAGCCACGTGGAGGAGACCCCTGCCAGCGCTAAGATGCTTCCACTGCCACTGGATCTACAAGACTTCCCACCCACTGACCTGTGATCTTCCTGTACTAGGCATCATTGCATGTGTTACGTGAGTCTGAAGAGAAATTTACACACTGGTACTGGACATATGGGCTAATATCGGACTTATGGACTTGATCTGGACTAGGCTGAGATGTTTTCTTAATGTACAATTATTCTTTGATATAAAATTCTCTCTTACATATGAGTGCCTCTGAATTTGTTTCTCTAGTCAACGAGACTAACAGTCTCATGTAGAATTGATTTTTGCTGTAGTCTTTTAAAATCTGAGATTAACATAGTAATGCCATTGTTTTATTCTGTTGTCCCTAGAGTTACTATGAATCAGAACAACCAGCTTAAAATCTTTTATTAGTATTTATATTATATTAGGATTCCTTGAGTTCAAAGTAATAGAAAACTTTGACTCAAAAAGATACCCAAAACAAATGTAGTATATACACGAAGTGGAATATTATTCTGCCATCAAGAGGGATGGAGTCATGAAAACATGGCATTCACATGGATGGATCTTGAAAACACGCTGAGTGAACTAGGTCAATTACAAACATGCACACAGTGTGTGATTTCCCTCAAACACTTAGAGCAGGCAAAATACAGAGCTCACAGTTTAACCCATAGATTGGGCGTTCATTTTATCACGTGTGTCCAACGGGTGGCATTGTGCATTAGGCACTGGACGCTAACCTCAAGGTCGGTGGTCGAACCCACCACCCACTCTGCAGAAGAAAGACGAGGCTGTCTGCCTCTGTGAAGATGTACAGTCTCAGAAACCTCACAAAGGGCCACTGTGAGTCAGAGTCAACTCATTGGTTTTGATCCTTGTGACTTATAATTCCTATTATAGATAGTATAGAGCCATTGAAGATTTTTCCAGGTATAGGAGAGAAAGAGAAGGAATCTTTGTTTGATTGGATGGAAACTATGGCAATGGATGTTGGTGATGGTTATACAAAATACTTTTTATCACTGAATTATACATGTGGAAAATGTTGAATTGGAAAATGTGTTATTTATATTTTCACAGCAATAAAGAGAGATGAGAGATCCACTAAAACTCCTTAAACAACCATATTATTGAGGGCTCGTACAGCTCTTGTAATAACCCATACATCAATTTTATCCAGCACATTTGTGCATAGGTTGCCATCATTATTTTCTAGACATTTATTTTCTATTGAGCCTTTGGTGTCAGCTCATCTTTTAACCTCCCCTCCGTCCCCAACCACCCTTGTGCCCCCTTGATAAATTTAAATTATTATTTTCATATCTTAAAACTCTTTAATATCCCAGTCCTCAGTGCAACTTTAGGGCCGAAATCCAGTCTTTTACTCACGGGCTACTGCTGAAAAAGTTCAAGGTTTCTGCTCTGGCTTTGACTCCTCTCTTCCTTTCTGACACCTGAAGATTGGTCCTCCTTTGTTTGGGCTCGACTGTGCATTTTAAAACACTTTTCTTTGTATGAATTTCCATGTATTCTTAGTAAATAGGCCTCAACCACATTAGTTTAGATCGCCCTATTGATAAAAATTGGTAGAATTTGTTTTCAGAAAGGACTTGAGAATTACTTTTATCTTAGTCAAAATTTAAAAGATTTTATCACTTAAGGAAACTTCCCTGTTAGCTCTACCGTTTTTTACCTTTTAGCGTCTTTTAGAAAGTCATGTAATTTCTCTGAGCTTCACTTATTTATGTATAAAATCTTTTCACATATGGTGTCCTGAAATTGTCCATATTGCTATCTAGAAGTTTAACATTAAATACTCCTAGCTGCAATGATATACAAAACTAGATGAAAATGTAGTCATTGTTCCCTAAGAAATTGATGATATGACATACTTGTTCAGTTAAAAAAGCCTAGGTTCAGAAAATGTCTAGTATAAAGGACACACAAAATCTATAATAATTTTTTGAACCTAATGAAAAATGTGCTTTTATTCAAACTGTTCAGATAAAGAACTAAACAAACTTAGATAAAGAACTAAACAAACTTTTTTCTTTTTTCTTTTAGTGAATCAAGTGGAAGCCATGGTGATCATTAGGTGCTGTAACTAATACATTACTATTTTGTCTTTTAATGCAGGTGAAGAGAACTGGTCTTGTGGTGGTGAAAAACATGAAAATTGTTGGTCTCCATTGTTCTAGTGAAGATCTGCATGCTGGGCAAATTGCTCTTGTTAAACATGGGTCAAGGCTGAAAAATTGTGATCTTTATTTTTCCAGAAAACCATGTTCTGCTTGTTTGAAAATGATTGTAAATGGTAAGTGTGCAAAAGGATTTGTTGGGGATTAATAGCATTTATCTAAGAAAAATTAATGGGGACAGATTGCCTAAAATCACAGAGATTATTCAGAATTATAAACACATGTCTAAAGATGGCTTGCTATACAGTGACATTGTCTCTCAAAGTGGGCGATACGTCCCCCTGGGGTGTGCTGGAACAATCCAGTGGGGCGACTGCAAAGGCAGATACTTATGTCTTCTACTAGATTTTGGGCTTTATTACAAAAATTTTATTTGCCAAGTTGGGTCTGCTGAATAATTTTTTTCCCTCTGAAAATGGGGGGATCGACCAAATAAGTTTGGGAATCTGTACATGGTTCAGAAGGTTCAGTAAACATGGGATCCAGTTTCAGCTTTGTTAGTAAAAAAAAAAAAAATAACCTTGTACGTACTAGTAGACTAATGCTAGCTGCTGTAGCAAATCCCCAGTATTTCAGTGCTTTGGTGTTCTGGGCACCTAGTTGTGTAGTCCACTGAAGGTGTTGCTGAATAGCAGGCAGCCTTTCTCCATGTGGTTGATCCATGACCTTGGCATCTTCTGTCTCATTGCTCTTGACAACATCCCTGAGGCCCTTGACTTCGCTGTTCCTGAGGCCGACCAGGAAAAAAAGCAAATTGAGAAGGTGCACCTGCTTCTTAAAAGCCTAGGCCTGAAAGTAGCAAACATCATCATTGCACTACATTGTGGGAGTTGTTGCCCCTGTCTTAGCAGCTGTCTCCTATGACTACTGTCACTCAGGGAGCTGTGTGCGTGTTAATAAATGTGCACACTTTAGAAGGAGAAGCTCACGTTTTTGTCTCTGCCACACGTTATTCACTCACCCAAAGGTTTTCCGTTTTGTGCATATGATTCTATTGTTTTAAAATCATTTTATTAGGGACTCATACAACTCTTCACAATCCGTACATACATCATTTGTGTCCAGCACATTCATACATATGTTGCCATCATCATTCTCAAAACACCTGCTTTCTACTTGAGCCCTTGATATCAA